GAATCAGGATTTGAATCTGGGTCTCCTATACCTGAAGATGTTTGAGATATATTCTACTACCATGCCAGAAGGCAAAGCAGTCAGGAAGACTAATCACATAGAAATGACAGAGATATGGAAGTACTGGCAATCTAGCCTTTGGCTGTTTGGAATCATGGCTGGTTCAGTCTCCCTGGTCTTTGGGTTCTCACCTACTGGCTTCTCCCCTATAATACATGTCCCATTCATTTCATATATGTCTTCTGGCACATTCATCTCCCTTGTTTCATTGTCCCCAGTCCAGAATTTTGTTGCTCACATCCCCACAAGTGAGATCTTCCCAGATCTTGGCTCTGCACACCCTCTCCACTCATTTTCACAACTGCATCTTTACTCAGGGAGCAGAGCACATGACATTTTATTATATCTGGGACTCCAGTCAATGGAGTGGTGCTGCCCTCATCAGTCAAATCTGTCTTGTAATGCCCTTAGACATTCCCAGAGATATCTCTCCTAAAGGATTCTAAATCCATTCAAGTTGACAATGTAGATTAACCAGGTATAAGTTTCATCACCGAGTGATGATCTGTGTTGTTTTAATTTTGCTTTTCCACAGTGGCTCAGCCTCTTGAGAATGTGGTTAAGTTGTGTCCATTTATGCAGGCCTTTAAGCACAAAATACCCTAAAAATGCATGTTGAGAGTGGGAAGAAGAACTCAATTGTGGAAGTAGGATCTATTCCCTTATCAAGATTAGTTCTGGGGCCAGCTGGGTGTAGAACCCTCAATTGACTCCTTGAATTCCAGGTTCTTTCTGTCTGCACAACCCTAACTTACTGTGTGAATTCAGCTTCTCACTCAACCCCTGGTACAGATTCTTTGTGTTCACTTGGGTGCATCCATTTATCTTCTCAGCCTTCCATCTCTCCATCCATGACACAGATAATCATGCTTCATTCTTGATCCTGAGTGTAGACAAGGCATCATGGGAAGTGATCATTTTAGTTCTTAGTTAATAGGTTGCTCTTGTGGGTGTATTTTCACTGCTGTTTAGTTGATAAATTTGACTGTTCTTTCAAAGGGCTAAGTAATGGATACTACAGATTTTATGGATCAAAACTGGTCATGCCCTAGTTCCAGAGACTCTTAGAAGTCCTGAACTAGGGTGTCAGCAGCTTGGTTCTTTCTGAGAGCCATGAGGGAGACTGTTCTCAGCCCACTTCACAACTGTTGGTGGCCACAAGCCTGCTGTAGCTTGTATATGACACTGTCTCTGAGTGTCTACATCATCTTCCCTCTGTGTCTCCCTGTCACCACATCCAGATTTACTTCTGTTTTTTTATAGGTCACAGTTACTTTAGTCTCCCTCGAATGTCCTTTTTCACTTCTGTGTAACTGTGGTGTCTGTGCGCGCGTGTGCACTCGTGCGCGCATGTGTGTGTGTATGTGTGTGTAAATGAATGCTTAGGCTAGAAAAACCCACTGGATACCTTTCTTTCTTTCTGGCTACTCCCCACCCTCACTTATTTTGTTGAAACAGGATCTCTCAGTAAAACTGGAGCTCATATGGGATTTCACTTTCCAGCTAGGCTAGAGGCCAGCAAGTCCAAGAAGCCTCCTATTTCCTACCACCCAAATGTTGCTGGAGATATTTAAAATGGTGGAAACTGATCTGTCTTGTGATATGGGGCCGCCATGTTCTTGACTAGGCTAGGCCTGAAGTCACCAGCAGTGAAGTAGCAGCATGTTCTACAGCTCAGGACACCAGCTCAGACCGCTGGCTCAGGTGGCCAGAGACACTGCCCTGCCTCCCATAAGACGCCAGCGTGGGAGATGGCTCTGCCAATCTTCCATGCTGTCTCCACAAGGTTGGGCTGAGCCCAGACCATCCCTCCATCCATGTGGGTCCAGTAGGAATGAGATTCTAATACTTAAAGATTAATCAAATAGCTTTATGTGTTTGGTAATGCTCAATAACAAGATGCCCACACAATTGGAAGTGTTAATCAATTAACTTACCTAGATGTAAGTTGTTACCTAGGACTGCTCTCAGTCTAAGTGTGGCTCTCCATCCTCCTACATCTCTGCCCCCCTAGCTCCTCTTCCTCCTCCTCCTCTTCCTCTCCTTACTCATCCCACCTTAGCTCCTCCCACCTTGCGGTGAAAATATGCCACTACACCCAAGTGTTTCCCGGGCATCTGAATTTGGGTTCTCATGGTTTCACATCAAGCACTAGCCCACTGATTAGCCTCTCCAGTCTTAAATTCTGTTTCTAATGAGATTACACTCTGAGATCCTGAGGGTCAGGGTTCAATTAATCTTTTGGGAAGGAAGCAATTTAATTCAAAATGTTGCAAATGACTAATTACTGTGTTCCCCAGAAAATGTTCTGTTAAAAAAAGATAGCTTGGCATTTCTCAATGAGATAGAAGCATCAAGAGATACTAAAAACCGCCTGACATGGAGGCCGCTTTGATTTACTGCCCTTGGCATTCACAGTCGTTCTTTGAACCAGATTGGGTGAGTGGGGTTGGTTTTGACAAACACCTGTTTCTTTCCACAGATAAAGTCCCAGAATCTTTACCCAAAGTGGTATTTCCCACATATGCTTTCAGAATTGAAAATCTTTCCTTCCTGGCTCGTGACATTTTTGTGGGGCCTCCAGAATAGAAACGACAGAGCAGATCTCAGGCAGTTGGTACTCCTCCGTGTGACAGCATCCTGCTAACATTTCTGCTGTTTGTGTGTGATTTACTGTCCTCCCAGGGTTCCTAATATATGCAATAAAAACCGATTTAGAATATTAATCTGACACCATCCTGGCCAGCCTGGTCCAATCGAAGTTTATTTACTGGAGATGGTGAACATTTTTACAAGAGCAGAATGAGAGTCATTTTTCTTAGTATTTCTTGCTAGCTTCCTCAGCACTATTGCTCTGAGTCCCCCAGGTAGGTAGTAGTTCTAATGAAAAATGATATTTCCAGGTTTGATTTCCATAGTACAGTTTAGTATCTTTTGGAGACAGGTCCTAGAATTCCATTCCTAATGAGTTACCTGGGTCATTCTCTTTCTGCATTTAAGAACAAGTGTTTTCTATCACCCTTCTATGAGAAATTGCATTGTCTCATTGGAGTTAGTCGGTTCCCAGAGCTAGAGTCTGTCCAAGGCTGAAGGTAGGAGAACCAGGTAGCAGGGATGGGGCAGAGGGCTCAGACATGGAGTGTGGGCAGGGGAGGAGTCCAGCAGCTGCTGCAAGGGCAAGTGTGTGGGGTCCATTGTGGAGTAACATCTGCTGAAGGCAGGGAAGAATAGTGTATGGTAGGAGGCTTAGTAAGGGTTGATGGCTATGCATTTGTTGGCAGATGGGCTGAACTGAGGCATAGATTTCTGCCAGCTCTGATGGGAAGAAATTGAAATATCTACCTCAGTCAGAAAATCTGGTTCCTGGGCACAGCTGGAGTAGAGAAGGGCTGATGGAAAGGCCTAGCCTGTACTGCTGAGGGCCTGCTCATTGAGGTGGGGCCTTGGGGCTATCTGGGGTACTGTGTGGAAACTCAGATTTCTGATGAAGGGTCAGCCCTTCTGAGAGCTCTGGAGACCATATTTTCAAAATTCCTGTGAGATCTAATTGTCAGTCATCTAGGACAGCATCCAGGAGATAGCCCATAAAGAAATGTGGACCTTGCAATGAGCCCCACCCTTGTGAAGACCTTGCCTTTGTTACTAACCTACTCTGAGCCATGCTTGCTTCATCCATTAGATGAAATGTGCCTGCCTACTTTGACCACTCTTTCCTCCTCCCCTCACCATCTCCTTTTCTATCCTTACTTTCCCTGTCTTCTCCAGTTCTCTGGATGTAGCTCATTTTCAGTCCTCATTTGGGTACATGGTAAGCATCATTCAGTGATGGCTCAAATCTTGTGAGACTTGAGATTCTAGAACAGGAGTTCTCAAACTTCCTAATGCTATGACCCTCCTGTACAGTTCTTCATGTTGTAGTGACGTCAAACCATTATGTTCATTGCTATTTCATAACTGTAATTTTGCTACTGTTATGAATTATAATGTAAATATCTTTGTTTTCTGATGGTTTGAGAAAACCTCTGTGAAAAAGTCACTTGACAACAAAGAGTCTTGACGTTGAAATCCACTTTTCTGTAAGTTAGTTTGGGCAGGGAATCTACCTCTTGGGTGTTGGATTCAAGAGAGGGAACCTGTTTATAGACCTGGGTTATAAGACAGTGGCTTGGACCTAGACCATACTGGTTCTTGGTTTTCCAGAACTGGAAGTAGGAAAATGATATTGCCTGAAATAATATTGACCGACAGGCTGGGTACTTCATATATAATCTTATATAGTCTTTGCTTTATACATGGGAGCCCTAAGGCTTGGAAAGAGTTGTATACATTCATGCCTGTAATGCACAAGAGTCATGTTTCACAAAAATTTGGGAGATATGGCTCTGAGGCTCATAGTCAAATCCTGCTCTTATCCATTTAAGCCAAGTGCAAGGACATAGTGGCCTTTGAGCCACAGTGCTGATATCAGAAGCAAGCTGGGCCCCAGAGAAAGCTATTTCTGTGTTCTATATTTCTAGATGTAAAATGATACAATTATGTCATAGTGAAGTGGGAAAAACATGCATTTTCATAATAGAAATTGATCCATAGGATAGTTCTACTGTTGGCACAAGCTTGATAAGTTCAAAGGAAACCCATAACACAAAATTGCCTTGTACTGAAAATCCCTTGACCACTTCCTTTTGCATTCCTGCATAAGATCTGATCTTTGACCTTCACTGGGTTCTTCAAAGCTCTAAGAGCTTCTCTGTCCATGGCTCCATTCACCAGCCTTCACAATTCAAGCCTTACTTAGCTTATGTGAATTCAAATTCTTAACCAAAATATACTTCACCTTACACATGAAGTATGGGTATTAGTAAATATATTCATTTAATTCAAAGATCATGTTAGAATCTCAGCCTTTGGTTAACTATTTCCTTTCCCGTCTCTATTCCCAGGCTATAACCTTCAGTAGAAGGACAAACATCACAGCCAGTGAGCTGCCAAGCACTACCCAACCTTGTCAAAGAGAACAACTGGATCCACTATTAGTCAACACCTCCCAGCACAAGCCTCTGGGTCACAGAAGGAGAACAGGTCAACGTTTGACACTTTCCAAAGACGTTTAACACACACCAGCAAAAAAGGCTACTTAGGTTGTCTTTGTATGAATTTGGTTGATTTCAGAAACAAATTTAAAAAGGTGCTTTGATTGAAGAAGTCACATGGGCATACTCACCATTTCAATGATATAGCAGATGATGGTTATTGGAACAGCCCAAACTACCACGGAGCAAAAGATATAGCTTGAACAGCTACCAGACAATTCCAGAACCAAGGGATGGATGACTACAGATATCGGGACAACTATGAGGGCTATGCCACCAGTGATGGCTACTACCGGGGCAATGAGCAGAACCCAGAAGAAGATGCACAGAGTGATGTTACAGAAGGTCATGATGAGGAAGATGAGATCTATGAGGGCGAGTACCAAGGCATCCCTCATCCAGATGATGTCAAGTCTAAGCAGGCTAAGATGGCACCCTCCAGAGCAGACGGCCTTCGGGGCCAGGCAGACCTGATGACTGAGAGGATGGAAGATGAGGAACAGCTGGCTCACCAGTATGAAACCATCATTGATGAGTGTGGCCACGGGCGCTTCCAGTGGACCCTCTTTTTTGTCTTGGGTTTGGCCTTGATGGCTGATGGGGTGGAAGTGTTTGTAGTGAGCTTTGCTCTGCCAAGTGCAGAGAAAGACATGTGTCTGTCCAGTTCCAAGAAAGGAATGCTTGGTAAGTAGAAACTTCCAATGGTCATTTTCCTTGTGACATTAAGTATATGAAAGTACAGAAGGTTATATATGTATATATTTACATATATATATATATGTACATATATTTATATGTGTACACAGATGTATAGCTTGTCACTGTTAGACATCTTAAATATGCCATGGTGTTGTGCAAAGTTATAAGATTTATAGTCATTTTGCTATTAAGATGTTATTATAAATGGACATCAATTAATTTATCGACTCAAACTTTCACAGCTAGTATCATAGCTTTTTTCTTTTCAAGCCCTTTTGATTCTTAGCTCTTTCTTAAATTCCCAAATCTTATTTTCTTGAATGACAGACTATTCTTCTTGTATTAAACCATCTTCCATATCTGAGTAATAATACATTTTGGAAGGGGTAAGCGAGAGGTCTCTTCCATCATTCCTTCTTTATGAGCCTTCCAAGAATCCAATGGCATCTGCTCCCAGCTCCTCTTGTACCAAGAGTTAGTGGCTGAGTGCCCATGTGGCTTGGATAACTGATGGTCTTGAGCATACCCACTTGCAGAGTCCCCGTAGGCAGTTAAGAACCATGGTGTGAAGCACAGATGGATTCTGAATGATAGAGAACCAGCTTGTAAGTCAGTTAGTAGACTAGCACTGTCAGATCCAAGCCTCAGCCATCAGGGCTCAAGGAGGAGAGGATTATGTGAAGTTACAGAGAGGATGAGCACAAATGGTATGGAATAGAAGAAATTCATCATAATAGAGCCAAGGGCTTGTCTTGATTCCCAAATGGTCTGAAAAGCATATGTACCCTCTACATTTAGTGTCCAAATAGAGCCCAAGATATATGAAGCTATTAAGAACTTGCCATGAGCTAGTTTATCATTCAAGATAAACAATAAGTGTGCCGCCCCAGGAGTTCAAAAGCTGTCCATCTACCAAATTCATTAATTCAAGAAAAAGGTACATATTTCTGGTCTACAATATGCTGGTGCCTGGGATACAGCCTTGGAGAAAAAAATAGTTTTTGTTTCTCTAAAATAATTATATACCACAAGACAAGAAGGTCTTTATGAACACAGATTTAATAACTTCAGCAGTAAACACTGGAATATGTCTTGTGTGGTTCTAGACCTTGCCTTTGGAGAAAGAGTTAGCAACCATTTCTAATCAGACTGAGATAGTAAACATTCCCCAAGCCCAGATGACCTCTGTCAGAGCAATTCAAATCCCATGCTGTAATCCAAATCATCTGGAGACAATGTGTAAACTAGTACAGACAACTACGTTTTAGTAAAACTGAGACTGAACTTGGGAGGTGGTAGCAGGAGTACTGTGAACTTGAACACAGTTTTAGTGAGACTATCACAAATTAGACAAAAGTAAGAAAAGCTTATATTGAGAAATGTGAAGAATTGTTATCAGATAAACAAAATAACAGCAATAAGAACTCCAAAACTAGCTGAACAAAAAGATTTGTCTCTGGGCCATTAAACCTTGCCATATACATTTATTCTTAAGCTATAATGCCATTTAAAATGATTAGAACTCCAGCAAGGGTGACCAAGAAAATCCAAGGAGACTGAGTATATAAAAACAGATGCTTCGAGAAGCTGGAGTGTTATTCAGCTTTTAAAAGCCAGTAGAATTTTTAGTTATGCTTGTGTGTCCTTACACATGCACATATGCACTATCCAACTGTAAACACTGAATAGTAGATTTTTAAATCATTTATTTTATTTTCAGTTTTATGTGCATTGGTGTTTTGTTTCCATGTATGTCGGTGTGAGTGTCAGATCCCTTGGAATTGGAGTTCTGGACAGTTGTGAGCTGCCATGTGGGTGCTGGTGATTGAACCTGAGTCCTCTGAAAGATCAGCCAGTGCTTTTAACTGATGCACCATCTCTCCAGCTCTCTATTTTTGACAAAGCAAACAAAAGAACAAAATTTCTAACTGAAAACAATCCATCTGTACCTGACTTAAGCATTTCTAAGTAATCAACTTGTTTTTGTGCTGCTTCCAACCGAAACCTGAGTCCCTGTTTATGCTGGCAATGTCAATAGTGATTTCATGCCCATCAGTGTCTCTGGCACCACATGTCCAGTAACCTTATCAGCAGAGCTGTAGTATTCTGCCAGGTCCCACTTCTCTCAGGAGGGAGAGAGAGGGCTGGGTAGGAGCCGAGGGAATGTGGTTAGGATCTAGAGAGCCCACACTGGTACAATTCTGCCCTCTGTGTTTACCAAGAAGATGCTATGACTCAAACTAAGAAGGGCATGTAGACCCTGAGCAGAGATTCCCATCTTGGGTGCTCGGGAGATTTCCTGCCGTAGTCAAGAAAATGTGAATCTAAGTTGATCCAGTGGAGTGGATGACTGAGAGGCTTGGAGTCACCTTGGAGGTTGGTCACATGTAGAAATAGATTTGGAGAGCCTTATCTCGACTCACAGAGATAACAAGTGCCAAGCAGGGCATGATGGCAGGACTATCTGACTTTGAAGTCTGGGGTCACTCTTCTGTACTATGCTGCCTTTTTCTTAATCACGGGCTATGGAAAAGAAGCCATGCCCTATACAGCCTTCTCTCCCTATAGGATCACGTGACACTGGATAATAACTTGAGAACTAGACATTGGCCATGACAGTTTGGCAGCTACCTACCTTATTATCAGCCGGTGACCTTGGGCAAGTTCTAACTCCTGTAACTCAGTTCTCTAAAGGAATCGGTCAGAATGACGATGCTAATGATGGGGGCCTGAGATAATGCAGGCAGAGCAAAAGTATAGATGCTTTCTAGACAACTCAGCTCCCTCCTTTGTGCCATGGCACCCTCCTGCCAGCATTTGCAAGGATTCTGATTGCAGTGAGAACAATGGGGCAGCCTGGATGTCAGGACCAGGCTGCTTGGGTTTGTAGTGTCACTGCTGACTCTTAGAGGGGCAACCTCAGAAAAGTTACTCAGTTGCTTTGTGCTCTGCTTTCCTCATCTCTAAAACGTCAATTAGGGTGATGCCTCCGAAGTAGGATTTCTATACGGATGGACTGAATTCAACTGTAGTGGATTTAATGTGGTTAACTTGATTGGTTTACTGCCTACAGCTTACAAGTTGCTCAAGATATCTTTACAGTTTTTTTTTATTGAAGTTCTTCATCTTGCTATTATTATTATCATTATTGTTATTAACTTGATTGCTTGGTAGTGATGAGCCACCCACACTCAGGACATCAGATTTGCTCTGATGACTTTGCACATATCCTTCAGCCAAATGATGCTTGTAGATTCTTACGGTTAAGCTGCTTGGCCTAAGCTGGAAAAGGTTTTTGTGTTCCAGAACTTTTCCTCCTCCCTTTCCATTGTTTTAAAAAGAAGTTCAGTCTCTAGCTTGGCTTTCAGCTCATGGCCTAAGAAAACAACACAGAACAACCCATGTCTGACTCAGAGGTCATTTTGTTTTCATTTTGGAAAGAAATGAATCAATTCAGAAAAACTAAAGATGTTCCTTTGGTATCTTAGTTAATTATTTCTCTTGAGCATTTTATTTTAGCGATCCCCTCATGTATGGATGCCCAGATTCAGGATCATATTGCTAGCACTGAAGGTTCAGCCTTGCTCTGTCCAGTGATGGTAGTCATTAAGACAATGAGAATGCATCCACTTGTTAATTAAGCATTTCCTTCATTCTTTTAATTGTCTATTTCTTTTATTTTTCCATGTATTCATACGGTTGTGTGTTCACATGTGTGTGTGTGTGTGTGTGTGTGTGTGTGTGAGAGAGAGAGAGAGA